AGGCGTTTGGGTCAGAGTGGGAAGACAGGGAAGGAAGCCCTGGGAGAGCGAGGACCTGGCTCCTGTGTCCAGCAGACCCAGCCCCCCGCCGAATCCCCTGCCGGTGCGCTGCCGGGCTGTGCCGACCTGCCTGCACTCCGAGCCCCAGTCTGTCCTCCGAGAGATGGCGCTGGCTGTGGTCCTTCCCCCCGGGCTTGCTGAGAGGGTAGTAGTCATGCCATGGTGCCAGGCTCTGGGTGAGCAGCTGCCACCACGTCTCATTACGGAGGTCCCCTTGACATTGGGTAGAGGCACTCATCTGATTGGCCAGCGGGCGGGCACTGGAGACGAGGCTGACTGGGTGAGCCATGCTGGCACCCTGGCAAGGGGGCACCTTTGGGACCAGGTGCTGGCTGCTGAGAAGCTCTGGCATAGGCAGCCGGGAGGCTTAGCTGGGCCTTGCGCCCACATCCTCTGCCCCGTTCCAGGCTGTGTCGGGCCAGGAGGTGGTCTGAGCTGGAGGTCAGAGTCCTCCAGGCTGCACGAGGTGTCAGCATTCCTGGCCATCCCTTTGCCATAAAACCAGCCAAAAGCCCTCGTGCTTGCCTGGCCCAGACCTGGCGCCCCGAGCGGGGAGCAGTGTGTGTCTGGCTCCTGCCTTTCTGGTATGGTGGTCCCGTGTCCACACATGTTTGCTGTAGTTTTTTGTGCCTCACTTTGTTGTTGGGTGGGGGGGGGGGGGGGGGAGGCCCTCCTGGGAAGTGACGAGATGGTACAGACCCTTCCGTACGCCCAGGGAAGCTGCCAGCAGGATGGGCAGTCCCCCAGCCCCGCCAGTGGACACCCCCGGGACGTGATCCTCAGAGACGGCCATAGGTATTGGGCAAGCGATGTCTGGTTGGGGTGAATGCTGAGGCTAAGACTGGCCCCGCTGTGTCCCCACTGCTGGCCACCTTGACTGTCACATTCCCCGCCCCTCCCCTCTAGTGTCCTGGGACCCCGTGCTGAAGCCCCAGTGCTGAGTGTCGCTCCTGTGCTCGGGTGCAGCCCTGGAGGCCTACGCTCTGCGGTCAGGGCCAGGGCGCCGGGTCCTGGGAGCCAGGTTGGAGTCCCGGCCCCACCGCCATCACTGCGTGTGCTTGGGTGAGTCCTCTCGCTTGCCTCGGCCTCAGCACTCGTCCGTGAGAGGTGGCCGTGCACCTGGTGTGTGGCCAGCATCCCCTCTGTGGGGGCTGGGCCGTGAGCAGTTCCGGGGACCCGCCCCCGCAGCCCCCTCCACCCTGTGTGAGTCTCCATGCCCGTCCTCCTCCCTCCTCCGGCCCTCCTCCCCTCCTCCCGTCCTCCCCACAGAGTCAGCGAAGCTGTATGTGCAGGTGGCCAGAGACTGGAGACTTGATCCAGGACATAGTACCCACCCCCGGGACGAGCCTGTGGCCACAGCTGCCTGCTCAGCTCCTGTTGATGTTTTCCCATCCTTGAAGCCGGGAGGATGGGCCCACAGCCTGGTAGCCAGGGGGCGGGGCCTCGGTACTATTCCGACTCTGGCTGTGGCCGCTGGGGTAGTGGGGGGGACAGGAAACCGGGGCCTTTCCGCCCAGTGTCCCAGTGTCGGCCGGAGAGTCCCGCCTACGGCAGGCCAGGCTGCGGTAAGACTGGCCTGAGACAGGGAGCGGGGCCTTCTGACTCATCCCTCCTCTGAGAGGCACCCGGCACACAAGGCCTTGTGCCCTGGCCAGGAGCTCGCTCTCCTTCCCCACCCCTGGGGAGAACTTTCCTCTTGGTTGAGCCTGGAGCCGCCCAGGATGCCGAGTGTCCTTCCCTAGGGGCAGGCCAGGTCTCTGCAGCTGGGACAGAAGGGTCTGTAGCTACACAGGCTGCGAGGGCTTCAGGGGAGGCGGCTGTGGCATCTGTTTTGACCCCCTTAAGTATTTCCAGGCCAGCGTTGCCCATTCGCAGGTTGGAGTCGCCCCTCAACGCTGTGCTCAGGGGTCCTATCACGGGCGTTGCCCAGCGCCCAGTGCTGGTTAAGCTGACCACACAGATGTTTGGGAGGTCCTGTGATCATTTTCCCCATTTTGTACCTGTGAACGACTGAGGTTAAGGGCCTCGCCCAGCCCTCATGGCTAGAAAGCAGCAGCAGTGGGATTAGAACTCGGGCCCATCAGGCCCACAGCTAGGGTGCTGATCCCCACCAGGCTGCCTCCTGGAATGCCTGAGGATGGCATCTCAAGGGGGCCTCTCCTGGAGATGCCGGCCTCCGAGGGGCAGCCGGCAGCAGTGCCGAGTGTGCGGTCCTTGGGCCAGTCACTCCGGCTGCTTGTCCTGGAGCTGGGAGTGTGAGAACCTGCACCTACTGTGCGCACAGGATGGGCTGCTTCTGCCCATGGGTCGGGGGTAGGCTATGGGCCTCAGGGCTTCTCGACTGCACTCGAATATTCTGCAGAGAAGGCCCAGAGACCTCCTGGTGTCGAGGTGGGCGTGACCCCAAGGAGAAGCACCAGTGCCTCCACTCCCCCGGCTGACCCACACCACAGAGGCGGAGTCTGGGCCCCCTCGGGTTGCCCCCACTAGGAGGTAGTGCTGGCTGAGTCACGCTTGGCAAACTGCCCCCATTGCAGGATGCTCTAGGGCACAGCCCCGGAGTCTTCTCCTTGGGCTTGGTAAGTACAAGGTCTTGCAGACACGGCTCACTGGTTCTCACGCGGAGTTCTCTAGACCTCTCCAGAGAACTCTCACAGTGGGTTCACTGTTAGGGATGGTCGGATTTCTCTTGAAAAACATTCTTCAGACTTCATCTCATGGAGCCAATGGAAGATGTAAATGAAGCCTTTCCTTGTTCCTGTTGACTGCCAGGAAGCTCAGTCCCGGGCCACAAATGTCTTGGCTCCTACATCCTGACCTGGCCTCTGGTTAGTTCAGGTTTTGTGTCCTTGTTTTCCCTGGCTTCCCTCTAATCCCCTTGTTTTCCTTAGGAGGAAGAAAACCTTGCCGATTTGTGTATTTTAGTGTAACCAAACAAACATCTATGGTGGATTAGCACTGGCTCCCAGATTAATCGCGTCTTCTCCACAGTCTCCATCCCACCACTCTCTCCCTGTCCAGTTTCCTGGTCCCTTGCTCAGCTTCCCAGGACCCCAGAGCCTGGTGGGCCCTTCCTTGCTGGCTCCTGAGTCTGGTCAAAAGTGCGATGTTCAGATTCTGAGGCCTCTGCTCTCCCTCCCCATCCCCAGGGCTCCATGAACATTTTTTGGGAGGGGAGTCGTTTCCCCAAGGTAGGCCTCAGCAGTTCCCCAAAGCCCCGGATGCCCTTGAGGCCCAGCTCTTGTCCAGCTCCTGTCCTAGCCCAGCAGCCCAGCAGCGAGTCCCGCCCTCAGTGGCCTGCCCGAGCAGAAAGCCCACCTCCTGTGGAAGGGCAGAGACCTTCCAGCCCTGATGGCTCAGAAGCGGGAGGGCAGATCTGGCTGGCAGTGCCCTGGGCGTAGGACAGGGGGCACGGTAAGGTGCCAGGGCCAACGTCCAGTGCTCCACCCTGTCAGCAGTCACCTCTGCAGCTCTCCCACTGTCCCCTAGAGTTAATAAATTGAACCAGAAGCTCAGGGCAAACTCCGTCTTCCTGCACCCCACCATCCTGGCCGCTCTCCCCCGGCGTCTCCCTTCCCAGCTCACTGCTCTCCGCGGCTCGTTCATGCAAACATACAAACATACATACGGGTGTGTGGGCCTGCTTCCGAGCTCCGAGACAGTGGTCTTCTGGTGTGTGCGTGTTTCCAGCCCTGGCTTTTCAGACTTCATGATAGCGCTTGGGCGGTTGTAGAGCCTTCCCTTCTCTGATCCAGGCAGTGGAAAAGAAAACCCCGGGACGAGGAACGCTAATCATGAAGGGTCTCCACTTGTAGAGAGAAGTGGAACCTCGTGTGGCTCTCGGAGGCCCAGGAAATTGCTAACTGTGGGCAAGCAGGCACTGTTCTGGGAAGAGATGCAGTGTTTCTGAGGGGTCTGTAGCTCACAAAGGGTCCGGAGCTGCGGCTGTGGGTTCCGCGACATCAGGAAGGTGGGGAGCTAGCTGGGCAGAAGGTGGAGCTCCTGGATCCCAGGGATGCCCAGCTTCGAGGTCTTCCTGGAAGATGGCCAGCTTCTCCCACTCTCAGTAGAAGGATTCTCTGTTTGCCAAGGGGGTGGCTCTCACTGGCCCTGAGCGTGGAACTTGGGGCCTTCCTGAACTTAGAGAACCCCAGAGATCAGAGCTAGGAGCCCCTTGAGACACTGGATCTGGGGAAAAACTCAGGCACAGAGAGGCCAAGGGTGAGTCCAAGGTCACCCAGACAGGGGAAGGCAGAGGCTGTGATACCCAGGCCCGTGTTCCTTCCCTGCCAGAGGGGAATGAGATCAGGGGAGAGTAGCCCTCGGGATGCAGGGAGGATGCCTGTTGCTGCTTGCCTGTTGGTGTGCGCTGAGGAAGAGGGGGTGCACAGAGCAGAGGCTGCAGCCCGGGGGCGTGCCGTCATCACACCTCACTGCATCCTGCAACATCACCTCCCGCAGGCCGCGTCCTGGCATTAGGCAGCAGACAACCGCCAGAAATTCGGAACGCGGCAGACGCAGGCCCGGCGGGCGGCCCACACCCACGGGGCA